TGTAATAAAAATAAATAATACTACTTATTTATTTTATATATACAATATGGATGCCAAATCGACTCGTTTAGATATGATACTAGTATAACAACCATAGATTACATGGGTGCTAGCTATGAAAGTTATACTTAAATTCCAAAAAAAAGGTTAAGTAGTTTTATTTAATTTAAAATGATTCTAATAAATATTGCATGTATATTATAATGACTTTTCTAAGTCATATATGATGACCTTAAAGAGAATTTTTAAGTTATATACAATTTTATAAATTGTTAATTAATATTAATATTTATTTTAATTTTTACAACAAATATAAATAAAACTATTTATTTCTTTTATGCATGCAATATGGTTGTCAAATCAAAGTTCGTTAAGAAACGATTAATTTGATATATTATATAAAGAATTTAATAATAAATAAAAAAGTTATTAACATTTAAAATATGTTTATAATTTAAGCTAGTCAAATGTTTTATAGGTTTAAAAGTTTTAATATGTACGAATATAAGTCCAAGCCTACATGTCCTACTCCAAAGCACCATAAATTAACATGTAGGATTACAAAGTACCATAATTGACACGTCTGATTACGAAAGATGATACACTCAGGAAACTCTACGTACATATATATGTGCATAGGAAGGACATCTTATAAATGATAACAAATAGAACACCTATTAACTTGTAAATATATTTGTAAATTAAGTTAGTCAAATATTTTATAATTTTAAAAGTCCTACTGATTGAAATTCATATTTACATGGATAACTCTGAAACACTAGAAATTAATGCATAATAAGCACTATAAAATTATGAAGCACCAGAAATTGACACATAAACTCAGAAAATTCTGTATTTTTTTTTTAAAGAAAATTCTTGGTACCTTTAGTCAGAATTTTGGGGCGTAAAACCCTTTACATGATAGGAAAGAACAATGGGATGAACTCTGTTCACACAAAAGAGGCCTCGACCTTTATATTGTCGGAAGCTCATTGTGTGACGCTATGTGAAACATTATTTGTTTCTCTCTTAATATGGTTACTGTTGATGTTCGTGGCGTCAACTACAATTAATTATGAATAATGGGGCAGTTTAATCGCGGGGTTGTGGTTTTATGGAATAACGGCCTAAAAATATATGAGACTGAAGACGCGTATATGAAAACAAGAATATGAGACAAAAATAGAAAAATTGGACAAGAGAGTGACTGATCTTGTGGGGGGATCGACGAAAGAAAAATGTTTTATATATTTTGTTCTAAGTAGTTCTCGATTGTTTTTCATGGGCCTCAGAGGCCAATTTTATACACGAAAAAAGTAGGAGTCATCATGACTTCATGGACAACTAAGGTTGTAAGGGAGCGACACGTTTCCCCATGCAAAATCTAGACTTTTGATGATGGGACTGGTAGGGCAATCGTTTATCGGTTTGATTTGTTGGTGCTTGTTCAGATTGCAGAGGGATTGTCATTACTTTGCAAAAAATGGAACACAGATGGATCAAAAAATTGGTATAAAAGCGCATCAAGCAGAGATCGTCACCCTAGTGAGAATGTGGATCAACAGGGCATCGACAACGAGGTTTTTTGGATTCTATTTTCTTATGATTGAGCCATTGTTTTTTGACTCGGATCGGCCCAGCGGGTCAACCCAGGACCCGGTCGACCCGGAGCCGAAACCGGTTCGGGTGCGCTATTTGGACCGGGTAACAATGGACGCGGGCAAAACCCGGCCAACCCGGCCTTGACCCGGTCGGGTCAACCCGGTTGACCCAGTCTCTACAAATTTTTTATTTTTTAATATTTTTTATATATAAAATAAAAACTATGTAAATATAATGATATAGTAAATACTTATTGTGAGATACAATATTATTAACACTTACATGTACAAATTTTGTATACAAAACATTTAGTTTTGTTACTTTTATGTATATTTATATGTCAAAAATACTATATATATAATTTTACAAATTTTAAAATTAATTATCCGGTTCAGCAATTGACCTGGTGACCCGGCGGTTGAACCGGTGACCTGGAGACCTACTCGGGTCGATTTCTGAGCCGGGTTTAAAAACGATGGATTGAGCCCAATAATCAGCAGGTCTAATTTTCACTCTTATTATCTTAATGGACATGCTCAAAATAGATGTTCTTTTTTATGTATAACAATGAGGCCCCAGGTTTTTAGGTGTAGAAAGGATCAACCGAGACACCTAAAAAAGCTATTTGCAGGTCTTGTATCCGTGCGCCAAAATCCTCACGTGATCGTCAATTCGCCTAAATGGACGACGTCAGTTGCATGGGTAGGTGATGGTTTGAAGCAAGACGTTGGTTTGGCAGAAACATTTAATGAGGAGAGAGAATATTCTTTCGAAGAGGAGTGTCTATTCGGACAAGGATGTGACTTTTGGACCTTGCGTCTCATCAATACGAGAATGATTGGTGAAATTTAATGTCATCCATATAAATAGAAGGTTATCTCATGACTCAAGACTTATGTATTTTGAATTTTGAACTTGATTTTGTGTTTCATTGGGTTTTGCCTTCACTATTTTGAGACTGTACCACAAAAGTTCTTTGAGTAGGCTATTTTTTCAACACGGTTTTTTTCTTCTTTCAACATGTCAGGTGATAGTGATTACGACATGGAAGTGGCATCGATGGATGATTGGTTAGGACAGGTAAGAAAACCGATCTCTGACATGAGTGATGTTTGAAATATACCAGCACAACTCAAAGGGGATCTCGCTAGCCCAACGACAGACGGGTATTGGAGACGATCATCAACTGAAGCACCATCTGATCCCAGTATATGGATATTTGCTGATTTGCGAGCATGGTGGGGGATCCCGACAAAGTGAAGTTGAGAGAAAAATACGAGATTCCTAGATCAGTAAAGATGTCTGTGCCATATAAAACAAACGAGTTCACTATCCACCAATGAGATGTGTTGTTGTGTATCAAGAGTCCATGGCGTCGGGATTGAGGTTCCCTCTTTTCCAAGTCTTTTTAAAGTACTTAGAATGGGGGATCGACGTTACCTAGGTTCATCCAAGTACCATATATCTTATTTGCTCCTTGATCATCTTATATACACAAAAGAGGGTGATCGGCGTCGTCTAATAGACGAGGACTCTATTTACACGCGAAATACGTCAAAATGGGGATCAGTATACTTCCACTTGGCGCCGCGTGACGATATATATGTTGGTTTTGTAAAGGATATCCTAGAATCACGTCATAAGTGAAAGCAGGAGTGGTTCTGGGTGTCCGAAGAGTGGAAGACCTATAAATCGACTGGCATTTTTTTGTATGTGCCAACAATTCTCATGGAAAACATATGTAAGTTTTTTGCTGATCCAATATAGAATTTAATAATAATCCAATTGTGTTTGATTATTTTTTTATTGGTGTAGTGGTAAAGACTACACCGCTCTTTGGCCTGAGATTTAAAGGAAAACTAGAGGATATTATGAGATTCACAATCTCTGAGAGGAGTTGTCAATTTATGACTGAGGATGAGGATCTTGCCAAAGCTGACTTCCACCTAAAGGCGGACGACATTCCCATTGATCCAACCATTGATTTAGTTTTACTCTTCAACAATTGCATTTATGCCAAGCTTCATAAATAACTTTGTCGATCTGTAGTAGTTTACCTTGTGACGGGTATCCTGGGTGTTGCCCCACCTCAGAAGCTGGAATCCATGGGTAGGATTGACAATATGAGAAAAAAATAAGAGAAAAGGGTCAACCACGCAAGATGATGCGCCGATTGTCCATGGGATGACATCGCCAACGCCTTTAGGAACTGTTGTGGGATAACCATCAGAGATCGGTAGGAGAAAGATTGACATGAGGCCTAAATTGTCAAGTTCATCTGGAGAGGTTGTAAAGACATTAAAACAATCAAGGAGAGAGTCTCTCATTTATGATCGTTCGCCTACTCCACCAATCGTTGTAGAAAAAAACATCGAAGAATAATTGGTTTGCCCGCAAAGAGAGAGAGCAAGCAAGAGAGGTGGTCGTGGAGGAGGTGAATGTCGAGGCTGGGGATGATCGCCCGAACCCAATCGTTGGAGAGTCGATTGACCACGAACAAACTGTGATTGTAGATTCGATTCAATCGGAGTAGACACTACGGGTGAAAACCGAACAGATGGTCCCCCAAAAACCTAAGTCGTCTCCCAGAGACGAGGCCACGGGATCGATTTCTCCCTTGGTTATCTGCCCCGCATCCCACAAGCGAAGGGGTTACGTGCAACTTCGAGGGTCACAGGCGTGACTAGTATTGCAACTTCGTGTGATCGATTATTCATGAGATCCCGAATCCTCATGGTGTGTCGGTAAATGTTATGAGTACAGCTTGCGTTCCAGTGATGGTATGTGCATTCCAATGATGGTACGGAATCCAGATTTGGATACGAAGGTTTCAGGTATGTGCCCTTTTGAGAGGCTGCAATGGACAATGACACATATGGTGGTGGCACTGGGATTGATCATGTATGGGATCGATGAGGCACAAGAATCTGTCGAACAATTGAAAAAAATTAAGGCCAATCATGAGTGTTGCGAGGATTGGTTTAAAGTGTTAGCAAGTCAGTTGGAGGCCGTAAAAAAAAAAGTAAAGTACGACCTTCGAAGAGTTTGTAGTTATCACCGTAGAAAGGGATTGCCATAAGTCTGACTTGAAGGATGTAGTTATCACCGTAGAAAGGGATCGTCATAAGTCTGACTTGAAGGATGTCCATATCTCCAGATCGCCGAGGAGAGAAGAGAAAGTGAGATGATGATGAAGAATCACGCAGCATCTATACAACACTTGAATGAAATGTTGTCGAGCATTTGTCGAAAGCTTTATGCTGAAAGGGCCAAGGTGCAGAAAATGGCTGAGACAAGTATATGTTTTATCCTAAAGAGTAAATAATATTAAATATATGTTTTATTTATTTTTTTTTTCAACTTTATAAATTGTTAAAACTTTACTCAATGGCACAACTCCAAATTTGAACTATAGTGGCATAATCGTTATTGACCCAATAAACCGTGCCCAAATGAGGATCAGAAAAGTGGGCACCGCTCTACAATCATCGGCGGCCTCCATTCCCAAAAAAATCCTCTGACACTGTTCCTGAAAAACCTTCTCTCTAACCTGAAAAAAAGGGGCCGTATCTACTACACGACACGAGCACATACTATTATCGTTTATCGCGTACGAACGATCTGTTTTTGGCTTGATTTTCCTTCACTTCTCTTCGAGTTGATCCACGGAACGATGTCGTTGAGGCCGAATTCGAGGACGGAGGTTCGCCGGAGCCGGTACAAGGTAGCGGTGGATGCAGATGAGGGACGCCGGCGAAGGGAGGATAATATGGTGGAGATCCGGAAGAATAAGCGAGAGGAGAACTTGCTTAAGAAGCGACGTGAGGGGCTCCAAGCTCAACAGTTTCAGCCCGCTGCCAATGTTCCTCTGCCCGATAAGAAGGTACAATTTAGTAGCCGATTGCATTGTTTTTCAGTCTTTTGCTAACATGGGAAGGTTTACTGGAATTTTTTGCATAATTTAGATCCGATCCGATGATGGTTTTTGTCATTTGGATTGCCGTCTGATCTGCTGCGGCACTCTGTGGTTTTTCCTATTGATCTTAGCCCTTCGGACTGAGTGTACTCTATTTGATGTTCTTTTTCAGTTGGAAAACCTTCCTGCAATGGTTGCTGGGGTTTGGTCTGATGATGCTGCTCTGCAGCTAGAGGCTACAACTCAGTTCCGTAAACTTCTTTCTATAGGTATTTAGTTTTCATTTGTATTTAATGAATTTAACTTACTGGGATTTGTTCTGCATATATATTTTTGGTTGAGATTTTTTCGTTTCTTGGGCTTTTGATGATTGGGGCCTTGTGGTCATTGTATTTCGACAGAGAGGAATCCACCTATTGAGGAAGTTATACAATCTGGAGTTGTTCCCCGTTTAGTTGAGTTTCTTGGGAGAGACGATTATCCTCAGCTTCAGGTATCAATTTCTGGCTAGCTCTGTAGGCTATTGATTTTGTTATATTTTAATGTGTCCTTACATGTCAAATATTTTCCAATTACTAGTTTGAGGCGGCGTGGGCACTCACGAACATTGCTTCTGGAACTTCTGAAAATACCAAGGTTGTGATTGATCAAGGCGCTGTTCCAATTTTTGTTCGGCTTCTCAGTTCTCCGAGTGATGATGTGCGCGAGCAGGTAGGTTGTGAAAGTTTTATTGATGGATTTGGTTGCTTTGCTTTTCCATTCTAAAAATATTTAAGCTCATGTGCAGGCAGTGTGGGCTTTAGGAAATGTAGCTGGTGACTCACCAAAGTGCCGTGATCTTGTCCTTCATTATGGGGCTTTAATGCCTTTGTTATCACAATTTAATGATCAGGCAAAATTGTCCATGTTGCGAAATGCAACGTGGACATTATCAAATTTTTGTAGAGGAAAGCCGCAGCCGCAGTTTGAGCAGGTTTGTATTTCATTTGTGTTTCAGTTTGTCAGGATGCTTTATTGTGATTTCCTTTTCTGACCTCTCTCATTAACATCGGCCTATCTTATTTGGAATCCCTCTGAGCAGGTCAAACCAGCCTTGGCTGCTATTGCTCATCTCATACATACGAATGATGAAGAAGTCCTTACAGATGCTTGCTGGGCGCTTTCATATCTATCTGATGGTACTAATGATAAAATCCAGGCTGTGATTGAGGCTGGTGTGTGCCCTCGTCTGATTGAACTTTTACTGTAAGTTATAGAATTATGTGGTTTGTTCCTAAAGTAGAAGGCATGCTTATGGATACCAATCCTTTGGATTCTTCTGTTTTTTTAACATTTCATACTCTTTTCTGACTCTTTGTATTTCTTTTTTTTTTCTTTTTTCCTTTTGGATTTTGTAGTCATCCTTCTGCATCTGTTTTGATTCCGGCCCTGCGCACAGTTGGTAATATTGTGACTGGTGATGATCTCCAGACTCAGGTATTTGTCTAGATTCTTATATTTCTATCTCCATTAGAAACTTATGTGATCTATATAAATAGCCGGACATTGAATCTCGATAATATGAATAGTTCCGTGTTTTTACTTATGCCTTCTATGTACTACATCTCTGGTAGTAAAAATGATGTAGAAAGGAATGGAAATTGATAAATGTGGTCTTATGGGGTTATGACTAGTGCACTTGACAGATTTCATAAAAGATTTTTCATATTCTTCATGGTTTATCTGATGATGCACATTTTAAAGCCCTTCTAGGTAATTATTATTTTGCATAAACGTGTTATGCATAGTTTGCCATTGCATACATTGTATACTATGCACTTCATTAACCTTTTATTTTTTTGGAATGAGCACTCCACTCTATTTGTTCTCATGATATTTAGGTAATCATCAATCACCAAGCTCTCCCACGCTTGCTTAACTTGTTGACCCAAAATCACAAGAAAAGCATCAAGAAGGAAGCTTGCTGGACCATCTCAAACATCACTGCAGGAAATAAAGAGCAGATTCAGGTATGCAGAGTACGGTGGAGTTGTTATGCGTTGGTTTCTAACTAAACTAACTAATTTCCCGAGTCATATTTCGTTTATATAGAGCTTTTGTATCCCTTATTCAAATTTTTATTCTTGTGAAGCATTTTCAGTCCAATACATGGCATTTTTTATTTATGTTTCGTGAAGGCTTGTTATCCATTTTTTTAAGTTCACAGCAATACTCAGGCTTTGTCATTTTAACAAACAGGCCGTGATCGAGGCTGGGTTAATCTCCCCTCTTGTTCATCTGCTTCAAAATGCTGAATTTGAGATAAAGAAAGAAGCTGCATGGGCTATTTCAAATGCCACTTCTGGTGGAACTCATGACCAAATCAAGTATAATAAATAATCTGCTGCCACAGTTTTCTTCTGTCCTTTTGTCCTCCTAATTATGGAAAATACTCATTGGAACTCATTTTTAATTTCAGGTTTTTGGTGCATGAGGGATGCATAAAGCCCTTGTGTGACCTTCTGGTTTGTCCCGATCCAAGAATTATCACAGTCAGCTTGGAAGGTCTTGAAAACATCCTAAAGGTTGGAGAAGCCGAGAAGAATCAAGGTAATACAGGGGATGTGAATATCTTTGCACAGATGATTGACGATGCAGAGGGTCTGGAGAAGATTGAAAACCTCCAGTCTCATGATAACAACGAGATTTATGAGAAGGCAGTTAAGATACTTGAAACATATTGGTTGGAAGAAGACGATGAGCAGCTGGTGTCTACTGATGAAGCTCAACAATCTGGCTTCAACTTTGGAGATGGTGCACTTCCGGTTCCATCTGGGGGTTTCAAATTCAGTTAGAGGTATCCTGAAATATTTTTTGCCTTTCAAATAAATAAGCTCAACGATACAAGCTTGCAATTCTTAACTAGCCTTCCTTTAGCGCCTAAATAAATAACTTCTTTTAAATGCCCAAGTGTTTGCAAGTAGTCCCTGAATTTGATGTCATTAACATTCAGTTTGATTGTCTGGTTGGGTTATTAATAATTGCCAGATGGGTGCTCTGAGCTCTAGGAGTTGAAATTCAGCTTCATTTTTAGGCTGATCTTTCTGAATCTTCAATTTTTTCACATCTTTGCAGGATTGCATTCTGTTTATGCAGTAAAAAAGTCTCGTGATGTGGTTGGATAAAGATTTATTTCATCACGTGAGCTGTGGTGGTATGGTATGTTTCCATTGAATGGTGCAAGGCGCAGTCGTGGGACTTCAAAGAGTCGGTCAGTTAATGTGTTTATCTCGTAAGGTTGCTGAACAATAATTATCTTCCATTTTCATGTTTTTTTTTGTGCAAGTCAAAGATTGGAGTTATTTTAGTTTTTACTGGTCATCAGTGTGTTTTTTCTTTTTGTTTTTTGATTTTTTTTCATACAGTTGGAAAGATGATATAAGCCTTAGGTATATTCTTGTCCATGCAAGTCATTTCCCATATTGAACTGGAGTAAATATTTGGGGAACGAGTCAAATA